GTCACACACGCTGCACTCGCCATTCCAAAATTCTTTACTTTGGGCTTTTGGAAGACCAGATTTTTGCTTAAAACGTGTCTATGACACGATTCGGAACAGTTTGATGTGAATATCATAGAAATACACTTCATTTGGGGGAACTGTAATAAAATGTCTTTCTCGAATTTGCCCGTCTCAAAAACGCCCGTCGTATCAGCATCCTATCAGACGTGAGCCAGACCGCACTCCCGAAACCCAGAATATTTTATTTTCCGCGTTGAGAACTACAATTGTTTACTAAAGACGTTTTATCTCAAATCACGGATGGATTTTAACCTAACACAATGAAGTAAAACTTCACTTTGAGCAACTTATCTTCGCCCTATTCGTTACTCGTCTTCGGGTTATGCGGAATTAGCTGGAATTGTTTGAAAATTTGCGGTTTATATATCAAATAGACGTTAATATTTTAGTCTTTCCATTTTCCACTGTATCAAAGAGGCGGAATTATTTTTATTTTATCTAAAATATCACGGTTACTTGCACAGATGGTTGTGTAGCCTGTGGACCGCCATATTGCCCGTACTATAGTACGTAATTCAGTGGGTGATGCCCGCGTAATTTGGTGCATTTTCAGCGGGTATCACCCATAGGGGTTGCGTGAATCGGGTGGTTGACCAGAGACTTGATTCACTCTGCATGGTCAGCGGCACACTTTGATAAAACTGATTGGAATTTAGTACTCTTCCTTTCTTTCTGAAGGAATAAATTTGTATTGTAGATTTATCAACCTGTTCCCAAGAGATGAGTAAGCAACAAGCGGGCAGCATCAAGATTAAGCCTAAACGGCTTTCGATTAGACGAACTCGCTCGCCGAACAGAATGGGCTCAGAAAGAATGCGACATGATGGATATGAACAGGATCGCGAGAGCTCTCTACCTTCAGATGTTCGCTCTCGACTGTGGTCTCTGTTTGTTCAGATAGAAAGAGAATTTGAATGTATGCATGCTGAAAACCTTGCTTGTAAGTAATTCATGTTTTTCCATACTGTGTTACTTACTTTTACTGCCGGCAATTCTCTTTGTGGTGGTAGCAAACACGGCTGTAAAAGTTCAATTCGGATTTCTGACTGTTGGACAAATCGCACGAACGTTTATTTTTTTGTCACTGCGAACTATTTTGAAGTTACCGGAGAATACTTCATTCTTGATGTTGCCTATGAGGGTAACTTAATTAGTAACCCGTAAATAATTTGACTTACCTACACACGGTCTATTCAAATGCATATTGGTAAAGTATAAAGCTTACTTGTATGTGAGTCTTTATAACATTTCTAGTCAATTCATGCTAAAATTTAACTGATAGTTCAGTGAATATGGCTTTTTAAAATTTATATTCCTTTCTTGTAAACATCGAGACCTGGCTATTTTTATCTTGAAAAGTTGTTGTGTAACAAGACAACTGCTTGTTGATTTGTTGTCCTAAACTGATGACGTAAATTGCCTTTGTATGTCACAACATGCTAGCCATAACATTGTTTAACAAGTCTCTGGAGACTGCTTTCCTGTGGCCAATTTTATGTTACTAATTGGCAAGCACTTGGATTCAACATCACTTCATTTGCTAAGAATTGCATGATGTTAATACGTACATTTTGTTGTTTTGGTGGAATTAATCCTGATCTTTTGAACCAAGTTGAAAAAGCAAATTTGGTTTGAAATACCAAGAGGTTTGAAAAATTCAGGGGTAAAATCACAGTTGTGAATGGTAAATGAAAGTTAAATTTGGTCCAAATTAGCGGTAATTTCAAATACCAAGGGTTTGAAAATGGTTGGATTCAACAGTGTAGTTAACTTTCTATTTTCCTTACAAGATAAATCGTGGTTTTATAGTAATAATAATAATAATAATAATAATAATAATAATAATAATAATCTTTATTGAGATAACTTTTTCATACAAAAAATGGTTTTTAAAAAGGATCTCGTAAAACTAAAAAGAATACAAAATACCCACAATACTTAGTTTTACCTCGTTATGTTTGTTGTTTTCAGATCAGCTTATTTCAAAAAGTTTATGAATATATTTGAAAGGTCCTTTGCAATTTTCACATCGCGCATAATGCACCTTGTTTGCCCCCACAAAATTTTAAATTTTTTCATAACCCCTGTGAATGTCTTTTTTTTTCTCCTTGAATGACTGTAATACCCAGAAGAAATTAAAAACAAAGGTTATGCAAAACTTTGAGGTACAAACAAGGTACAGTATGGGAGCTGACAAATAGTGAATGGCAGAATACACAATTTTCGATATATTAAAATTCATACTTGGCTCCAAGGCTTGGGGGAATAAAACAAAAGAATTCATTATTGAGCCTCAAGATGATTTCTTTTGTTTTATTCCCCCAAGCCTGATGCAGCCAAGTATGAATGTTAATATATACTGGAATTGGTCTATTTGCTATTGAGCTAAGAGACTTATATATAGGATTATTAATGCCTAACTTCCAAGGCCTTCTTGTTTTACTGCCCGAGTGTACAGAAGGGAGGTTATTATTTTTGCGCTCATTTCACCAGCATATCATCATGTATGTTACAGACTGTCAACTGTGATTTCAGGTTAATTTTGATTTAACCTACGGTAGGTTGATTCTCAATTTGCTTTGTTTCCTAGCCCTTATTCATGAATAATTAGGGCTAGGAGACAAAGGAAATTGAAAATTAACCTAGGTTAAATCAAAATTAACCTGAAATCAAATGTAGATTATCTAACTTGTGTGTGTTTATGTCTGTTAACAGTGCAAGAGAGAGTTGAAGCATTGAATGAAAAGTTGGATCTTGTCTTGAGTGGAGGAGAAAAGTTTGGAGATGGTGAATTATTTGCTGAGGGAGGTTCTTCAAAAACTGGATATAGTAAAAAGCAGTGTAAGCTACTGCATTGTATAAAATTACTGTCAGTTTGTCTATTGTGTGTCACAGAGAACACATGGCTTAGTTGAAGAGTTAATGTTAACATGTAACAAAATAAGGCTATTATTCCAAGCACCTTTTCAGTTTTTGGTTAAAAGAGTGGCTTATCTAGAGATTCAACTTCTGTTTTTGGGCAAATTGATTTGGAAAGCTGACATAAACATGATTAATAGTACAAGACTTAGTGTGCAAACCATAATGGACATTGGAGCAAGTCATTGGTTTCATCTAAACACATTGGTACTTTAGGTTTTCCTGTGTAAATGTGTACTTCACTTTCCATATATCCACCATTTTTCCTTTGGTCTTATATGCTAGTAGTTAACTCTTAATAACAGGATTTTAAGTTTGTTTGAATACATGTACCTTATGATCACTTATTTTTGTGAGACTTATTTTCCACGATTTCTGTAATTTAAAAAAATTCATGAAATTAAATTCCTGCGAAAAAAAGGGGGGTTGCGAAAATTGAAGACACAAAATTTAAATATAAAAATCTTAATTAAAGTTTTACATCAGCTAGGAGCATACATATGGGGAGGAGGGCTCTAATTTCAGTTCAGCACATGTCCTTGTTCCTCATCATCTGACGCATCGCTGAAGTTTTAAAAGATGTTATTTTGCTGATTTGTTGAATAATTCAGCCAGTTGCTTGTTACATTTCTATTCCATTATGGTTGAATAAAATGCAGAGAATTAATGGAAGTTTAAAACATGAGCACCAGTGTACACTGTACTTGTTTCAAGAACTTTAATTACCTTGAAAAACAGTTTTTTCGTCAAAATCGTGAAATTTAAGTCCCACAAAATATTTCCCTTCAAATTTGCTAAATTAAAGTCATGGTAAAATTAGTGATAATTAGGTAATAAGGAAAAAGCCCATATGCAGCAGTATATTAAAAAACCCGCCAGAGCATGTGCCTTGTGATCAAGCAATTTTTTCCATACTAACCTTTTACAGGCACTCCTCACCAGGGCGGATAAAGGTTGGGCGGTGAAACGAGCGCTCCGCTCTTCATTTAATGTGTGATGCGGAGTAGGACTGGCACGAGCGCTCTTTCCGCGCTTCCGGTGCGCTTGAAGGCCGGCGAAATTTTCCTTTTTGCAAACCGGAAATCCTATTTTCTTTCTGTAATTTCAGGCTACAATGTTAAATAGATAAATTCGTTTCATAACAATATCAATAAACAGTTTCATATGTTTGTGTCTGTACGTCTATAAGTCAAACTTGTTGGTCGTATAATGCCAAAATTTGAGTTTAATTTGAAAGTGTTGAATACCTCCTCCTTCCACTAAATATCACCTAATCGTCTTTCGCCGTTTCGTTTGCAAAAGCTTAACACTTCTTAACCTCAATTTTTACATATGTTAAAGGGGGATAAATTTTATATAACATAACAAAAAATTAGATTGATATATATTGATATAGTGGCGTTGTACTTCTTCAAACTTTGCTTCTCGTTTGCAACGCGACATGGCGATTCGCGCAATGCGTTGCAAATCCGGCAACCGCATGTAAACAAAATTTATTGAGGTTAGTTGTAAGGTTTTTTCTCCGTTTTTCTCTCTAAAACAAAACAAGGTAAACAGTAAAAACTGAGGGGAAACTAATTTTGAAGTTTCGAAGAAACAGAAAGACGTATGAGATGTTTTTTCAAAATTAAAAAGAAGGATGATGGTGATTGAAATTAGCATAATTTCACCTTGCACGAGCTGCACGCATTTATAAAATATACGTCATCTAGTTGTGAAACACGATCTGCTGTCTTTTAGTTTTGCCATGGATGACATGAAAGAGATTTTCCTTCGTGCTTTAGACAGTACTTAGTTGTTTTTGTTTTGGAATAACATCGACATTGGCGAGTAGCAGAATGAAAATATAATTCAGTGGTAGAGTCATGGAAGTAATAAAAGAAACCCTTTGAAAGAAATGTTTGTCTACTCCAACTAAACCTCCCGCAAAAAATAGCAACATTTGCCTCTCGGAGACAGCGTACCAGCACAAAGGAACGAGGAAGAAGTGCAAGAAAACAAATTATCAAGGCGCCATAACTCAGTGACAGCGGCAGTGTCTTATGCACAAACCACATCGCAAGCCCCGACCAAAGTCGAAAACAAGCAACATTTCTAAACATAGTGCCAGTCCACTGCATCACACCTTTTTGCTCGGACGCGCTCGTTTCACTGCCCTACCTTTATCCGCCCTGCTCCTCACCTCACCACCTCCGCTATCCTCTTTGCACCTCATGGCACAGAGTCCCTCCACTTTTCTTGGTTAGCCTTGTTAAAGTGAATTTTCTCTCCTTCTGGTTTCTGTATAAATAACAGGGTTTTCTGGGAGAGGGTTATCAGACCTCAGCCAAACCCCCAACCTGGAGGACCAGGGGACCACACTTAGTGTGGTCTCTATCCTTCAACCTGTTTGGCATGGGTGGCCCTACCAGGAGTCAAAGACTCCAGGTGACAGAGCTCTATGGGTCATTGAGGCACACAAACCACTCCGCCACTGTAAGGTGGTGGTCTTTTTGCACTGAGCAATCCAACACCCATAAAATCCTAGTGTTTCACATCAGTCATTCCAAAATTGGCTTTCTAGCAAATTTTCTCATAGTCTTTCCTTCTCTGGCATTCTTTTAATGTTTATCCCAAGCCACTGGGATACACACTATTGTACACAACCCATAATACTCTTATATAGTAACCTTAGGAGTAGTACACTTGTCTTCTGCTTTGAAAAGAGGGATTGCCAGACATTTTTATCTGTTACTCTATGAACTTATTGTAGTTTGTTATAATTTATGTGTTGCAGCTGCAAGCCAGTTGATGTCCCAGAAAATAAAAACGACTTACAAAGCTTCTACTAGTAAGGTAATAAAGTTATATAATTGCATGAATTACTCAGTTAGATACATTTGAACGTAAAATATGTGCAATCCCAGCATACAGATGTTTTACATGTACATGTATCTTGTTACACATAAAATAGTACAGAGACATCAAGGTACAACAGACCTGTCTTTTCAACTGTTTAGTACACCTAGCCTGATGGCATTGCTGAAGCCCAGCCATGTCCATCAACTAGTGGGTCATGCACACTACAGAGAGCTAATGGGAACTCAGCTCCTCTGTTTTTTAAGCTTATAATAATTTTCCTTGGTAGGGGCCAGTGATGCCCCACCCAATACACATAGTCCACACCTGGTTATTAATCACCTCATACAGCGTGCAAAGAAAGTCGTGTCAGATAGCCCAGGGCTAGTGGATTTCGCTATCGGGCTAGTGATTTTTGTTCTTTACTTGCCCGACGGGCAAGTACTGTCTCGTGGGGAAATTCAAATTACAGAAGGATTGTAATCAATCCTGCTAATCAAAAAGGATTTTGGGGCTAGTTGAAATGACTTCCGGGCTAGTACATGCTAGCTACAGCTTGCCCGAAAATGGCAGGCTGTAAAACTGACTTTCTTTGCACCCTGCTCATAGGTACTGCAACTGCCAGGGGAAACTAATGTTGTGCTGTGTAGAACTGTGACACAAATGAAGGAGCAGATAGTGCTCTGAGCATAAGCCGTAGCAAAGAGAATTGGAGAATCAACTGAGACAAAGAATACAATGACTGTTTGACCTTGGTACATGTTGCAAACTTCAACATTACTTTCTTTGCCATGCACAGTTCCCTTTTTCCCTTTTTCGAAGACCCGCTGCTACTGGACTGTAAAGCATTGAGTCAGGCTTCCAAGGTCATCAGTGGGTCCCTTTAGAAAGATCAACTTTATCACCCATGACTTGCTCCCATCTGGCCTATGTAGCTCAGTTGGCAGGGGAGCAATTGTATCGCAGTGGTGAGAACACTTGCCTCCCTCCAATGTGGCCCGGGTTTTAATCCTGGCGTCGACCTCATATGTGGGTTGAGTTTGTTGTTGGTTCTCTCCCTTGCTCTGAGAGGTTTTTCTCCGGGTACTCTGGTTTTCCCCTCTCCTTAAAAACCAACACGTACTTGCAAATTCCAAATTGATCTGGAACACATGGACATGTTTCAACGAGTTCTCATGAACTCCTCAGTGCTCTGTGGGTAAACAAGTTACAAAATTATATTTACAATTACGATTGTTTTAATCAGATCAGGATTAGTTAAGGATTTGATTCCTTCTAATGTGGCTCATGTAGGTTCCCTAATTCCTTTTTAACTTATGCTCCATGCCAGGATAATTTTATGGGTTATTTCCAGCACTTGAATTTTCACTTCATAGTTGACTCTCTGTTTCTGCGAAGTGAATGTGGAGCTTATGCAACCATGATGGCAACAGCAGCAAAACATCACTTCAAAACTGAATTTGCATTGTGTCAAATTTCATCATGATTATGCCATTTGTTAGATGTAGGCAAATGTTCCTGGACTTGAATTGTTATGGATAGTATCTAAGACAAGTTCCAAAAAAATAATAATAAAAATGATATTGTTGTTTTGTGTCTTAATGCCCTCCATAAAACGTGAAATTTGTAGTCTTTGGTGATGGCCAAGAAATGTACTACAAGGGATGAGTGTGCATGTACAGAGTGGTTGTTTTGTTTATTAAAACATTTTTTAGCATTATTTTATATTTCCGTCAACATTCTGGCTCTGTAAGTTGCCTCATATCACTGGACATAAATCTCACAGAAGAGTACTGACATCTTGATACCACTTGGTTGTGAAAAATAATAATTTACCTGATTATAATTATGATAAGGAAAACAGTGTTAAATGTTTTGTGACACCTTTCTAGATTGTTTCAAGTTTCAAGAATCCCAACCAAGCAACCAGTGTTGAGTGTCATAGAACAAGAAGCTTTGCAGGACATCGAGATGGAGTGTGGGAGGTGACTTGTGCAAGACATACACCAACCATGATTGGAACAGCATCTGCTGGTAGGGTCACATTGAATCCATTAAGAATATAGAGTGTTCTCATATGATGTCACATCTGCCATAATGAGAAGGGCTGAGAGCATGTACCTGTCTTGTGCCGATTTTCTTTTCTGGCCAGAATTGCCTGAATCTATTGGTGTCCCAAAACATTGAAATGGTGGCTATTCATGTTGGTGTTCCAAATTAGTCCTGTCAGAGATGAACCTTTTTGTTGTAATAACTTTATGTAAAGACTTTCTTTTGTTTCAATAAATTTACATAGTTGCTGCTAATTATAGTTGCTGGCGTGAAAATGCTCTGTACAATGTAACAATTTTTATGGAATAGAAAAGTGTGAGAGGTTATATTTATGGCTCTGCTCTTGTAAAGGCCAATAAGTTAATTTACATGCCAAGTTCCTCATCTATTTTCCAGTAATTTTTACAAAGACCAGTTCAAAACTTAGTAAACAAGTGCAAAGGATCATAAAAAAAAAGAAAAGTTGATTGCTTAGGTAGTCAACTCAGTAAGACTTTCTAGATTCAAGTTCAATGTTGTCATTTGAATGACTAGAACATGTGTCTGTGAGAAATGAAAGCATCAAATGACAAGTGCTTTCGTACTAGCCACCTTATTACACCAAGTCATACAGAATGTTATGTCATAGTAAGAGAGAGTGAACTCCATACACTGTACTAAGAGTGTAAACAGTGCATGTGTTATGAAATACTCTGTCCTTTCATCAGAATAGTTGCATAACAATGAAATAAATAAATTAGGAGTTGGAGAAAGACAAAGATGCCATAATACAATGTAGTGAATGGTATAAATTACTGATCATAATTAGTTATAATTACTGTAACTAATTTAACTTGTTATAATTGTTATTAATTTGCTTTTACTGAACTAATCCCTTCCTGTTGGGTGTCAAATAAAATAATAAGGTGTAAAATTAATGTAAGTTCATGTATTTTCATTTGTAGATCGTTCGGCCAGACTCTGGGATGTGGAAACTGGGCAGTGTCTATTGAAGTACTTGGGTCACAATGGATCAGGTTAGTGGACACAGTGGCCCTTGGACAACTTATAGAATCTTAAGACATCAGGGCCTGGTTCCTGAAGGGCCGATTAACGTTAATCCTGGATTAAAATTTTGTTCTGTTTTTGTATTCTGCATTCCTATACATTTTGTGTTATCATTACTGTATCTCATAGTAATGCTCAACAGTATTTTGTAACCGCAAGTTGCATATTTTTAGACGAGAAAACATTGCTTGAAAATTGGCTTAATCCTGGGTGAAACTTAACCATCTTTCTAGTAAGCGAGCTCAGTTCCTCACTTTGTTAACAATGGGTGCAAGCTTTTGGCACAATGATAAGGCTCTCTGGATTGCAAAACCTGTTGTTTCACATACTGAGGAGGAGGTCATGTCACTGTCAGTATTAAACTATTGCATTTGCGCTTTTCTCTGTTCCTCTCACATTTTCAACCCATCTTTGTGTCATTTGTTGCTGTTTCTGCTGTCCTGTCCTGTACGTTGTTTTTTCAAGGCCTTGTCGGAATTGTACCCTGACAGGACCTCAATGATTTGTGAATGCCGATCATTTGGGTGGTTTGAGTGATTAGCTATGATTGTTGAATGGTGTCCTATACAACAAGCACTAAAGCTTGTCCACCCAAATATTCCCAGAAATTGTTGAAGCCCTGTTGGATTAGAATTCTGACAAGCAACGTGGCCTTGAAACAGGGACAAAAGACCAGATTAAATGGTGACAAACCACATACTGTATTAAAGACTGGTTACAGTAAATGCCAACAGCGGCAGGGCCTACTTCTCTGAATATAAGAAACCACCACATATTTGAAATTCAGACCAGGGTTGTACAAACTGCCCACTAAGAAAGCCTCATTGTTGTAGCAAACGCTTGAAGCCATTTTCTCTTACACACATTTTCTCTTACACACCGTATCTGTCTTTATGTATCTCTTTCCAGTTTTATTCTTTGTAATCCTTTTGTCACCTTTTTTTTTCAGTCAACTCCATCAGGTTTCACCCAACAGATTCTATAGTTTGTACAGGTATTAAATAAAAGCTTTTATATCTGTTGTAAACTCACTACCACTACTCACTACCAAAAATGCTTTAAAGCCTTTCTTTATGGCAGTCTTGACAAGACTAACCATTTTTATTCCAATTTAAAGGGCTTTATTATGGTTTCTTGGGAAATTTATGTTGTTGCTGTTGTTGTTGTCTTTTTATCTTAAATTCAGGTTTTAACACTTGAAAATAAGGATGAACAGTTAAGTTTTATATGTGAAATTAGAGAAATTTAGAGGCAAAAAGACTTAGGTCCTCGTATAATTTTTCATCAGCAATGGGGCTGCATCTAAATATTTTTATGATATTTTTATGTTCACTTAAATGCAGTGAAATTATTTACTCTACCCAAATTTTGAATATGTTGTATTTTTTTTTTTTTTTTTTACCTCAGGTATTTTTTTTTTTTTTTTTTTTCTTTTTTTTCGGCAGATTTTCCATTATTAAAAAAAAAAAAAAAAATTACTGGAAAAAAAATTAAAAAAAAAATAAAAATTTTAAGCGTTTTTAATTTAAAAGCTTTGTGCATTTTCTTGTTTTCCTCCATTTATCAAGTCAAAAACTTTTTTTTTCAAAATACAATATTAAAATAATGTTTAATTTTTAAGTTTTTAAATTGAAATTATAAAAATTGAAGGAGAAAAAGAATTAGGTCTTTGTATAATTTTGTAATAGCAATGGGGTTGAATTTAAATATTTTTTTGATTTTTTTTTTTTCACTTAAATTCAGTTAAATTTTTTTTTTTTCCCAAATTTTTAATATTTTTTTTTTTTTTTTTTTTTTTTACCTCAGGTAATTTTTCTTTTTTTTTTTTTCATCTTTATCGGCAGATATTACCATACTCAAAAACAAAAGAAAAATTACCTGAGAAAAAATTAACTACAACATATACATTGTAAGCTGTTTGTAATTAGAAGCCTTGTGCACTATCCTGGTATCCTACAATTATCAAGTCAATAACCTGTTATCTCAAGATATCATAGTTACTCTCAAGTAGAAAAATTCAAGCCATTTGGACACCAACCAACTGCTGATTTGTGCCGGCATCCTGTAGTTTCTTCTTTCTAAAATGTTGGAGTTTCCTCATGAATCACAGTAAATGGCAAACTTTGAAATGAAAAGTTTAAATAATACAAGGCAGTCTACACAAAATATATTTGCCAGACAGTATTGTGTATTATACCTGAAATACTTAACTAGAATCACTTTAACACAACGATTTAGCTTTGAGGCTTTTCCATTTTGCTGATAAATACATATACTCTCAATTTTCCCTTTTTAGGATCAGGAGATGGAACTTGTCATATCTGGAGGGCCATTGTCTCAAAACCTGAAGAGGTAAGAGAAAGTTTCACGAACAATCATATCAGACAAGTTTTAAAACACTGGTTAGAGGGCACACTACAAGCAAAACCTTTCTAGTAAAGTGACCTCTTTTAACTGCGGTAGGGTAGCTCATTCGGTAGAGCACTTGACTTCATAGCAGGATGTCATGGGTTCTATTTTTTGGGGTTCTATACTCAGGGTTGAAGGTACTACCTGTTGCCCTGCAAACGTTGATCATGATGCTGCTTGTAATGATGATGGTGGCAGGGTAAGCTCTGTTGGTAAAGCACTTGAGTGCAGAGCAGAAGGTCCCGGGCACTATTCCCATGCTGGACAAATACTCAGGGTTGAAGGTAGTGCCTGTTGCCCTGCAAACGGTTAGACCTTAGGGTGGCTTGGATGACCCAGTAAAACGGCGGTCCCGTCTCCAGTAGGAGACTAAAAACAGTGTCCCCAATGAAAAAGCATGTTCTTGCTAAGCGCTACCCATGGTGCCCCTCTGAGCACTATAGTGTTATAAATAATCACTCTTTGCTTGTCATTAATTTAGTTGAAGCTTTATTGTTTCTTTTTTAACAGCGCTCCCATCCTGGATCGGCAGATGAAGCTGATAACATAACAGATGAAGAGTTTGAAGGTTTGTTATGTAAGAATAAAGAAAAACAAACAGTGTCGTTTGGAAATGCTTATTAGCCAGCCTTTTCTAAAAAAATTCAGGAGTTAAGATTTTTGACTACATGTAATATTTTTTGCATTTCCTAGGTATAGATATATATTTTTTTAATCAGAATATCATGTTTATGAATCAATCAGAGGGACAAGCTAAGGGAAAGTGAAATCAACTTTTGTCCGAAACAGTATTTTTAAAAGGAAAACTTTCTCAGTCAACTTTTAATGTTTTATTGAAGGTGTTGATAACCCAGATGCTTCTGCTACAGCCTGCCTAAGATCACCAACATGTGAGCTTAAAGGCCATGAAGGTAAACAAAATGTTAAAATTCATTTATTAGTGAAAACTGTTCTACAGTTGAACCTCTACATGTACTTCCTGCCACTGCCTCACAGAATCTGCTTACTTCTTAGCCTGCGAAAATATCCGTTTCTCCTCGCTACTTATGTCTGCTCCCAAAGCAGCTGTTGTAAAGTGTTTGGACTATTATTCAACATCCAACAAAATCAGGGTTTCTGATATTTGTGATGGTGAAAATTTTCGTATTTGATTGCAAATCGCATGTGGTCACATACCGAGTTCGAGTTCGATTTGAAATCACAAGTACATGTATGATTTCAGACCCAAATTGCACAACACGAAATTCAATTACCATTTTATCACAGTCATTTTGAAATCGCAGAATTTAGTCAGTACCACTATTTTATTGATCAATTAGCCGGTTTGTCGAAAAGCGGAAACAAAAAGGCTTTTACATCTCGTTTTGTATTCGAAACAGAAATGATGCGATATGGAGCAAAAATGATACGATGTAGAACATGACTAACGCGATTTGGGACAGATGTGATTTAGAGCAAAAATAGTGTGATTCGTGAATAAATCACACTGCTGAGAGCCAATCAGATTGCAGGGATCACCAGTGACCACTTCGAAAAATACCATAATATTATCAAATTGTTGGCACTTTGAAAATATTGTGGTATTTTGCGAAGTGGCCTGTGTGATCACACTGTTTGTGTTTTAGTTTGAATCCCCCTCTTAGGATCTTCACTGTAGTTGTTGTTGTTGTTGTTTTTATTTTTCGTTTTTGTTTTCATCTACATACATGTAGATTGGAATGGGTGCAATGCCTTGTAATATCAGTAATATACTAATACTAGAGGTCATCATTGATTATGTATCCGCGTTCGTCACTTACGGAAACAAAATCGAGTCGAAAGGAGTCCAGTTTCCCGGCCGAGATGCCCTTGATAAAATCAGTAGGGTTTGCTAATCGGCAGTCGCCCCCGATACCTCGAAAATTTGTGGCTGTGTACCACAGGAACACAAAGATTACGGTTTGTTCTGACGAACGCGATTATTGTCGCATATCATTGATTACAGCACCTGATTTGTTAATCTGTCAACTAGAAAATTGTCTCTGTGAATGCCAAATGAAGTGAGGTTGCCAAAGGGATACTCAAACAGGCTTTACACCCGACAGTAATGCCGGTTTCTCATTTGTCACCTATGCGCTTTGAGTTTAAGTTGTGCCTATCTTTGTTTAACTTCACATGTAGGTGCTGTTATTGCTGCTGATTGGTTTACATCTGGAAAGCAGGTTGTTACGGCTTCCTGGGACAGGACAGCAAAACTTTGGGATGTTGAAACAGCAGAACATGTTCATCAGTTAACTGGTATTCATAGAGATTTATTTCGATGGTCATGTGTGTGTTTTTTTCCTTCGCACTTTCTCCTTTTTAAGTTCTATACACTCAGTTTGTTAATATTTGAGGAAATTAGATGTTGGAAGTTAAAGCGTTTTCGTGAAATTATTAATTGTTCAATTTTAGATTCACAATTGGCTTCGAGGCTAACTCCCCAATCCTCGAAACTAAGCATGAATTTTAACACATCGAAGTTGTTCTATTGGTCGAATTCATAGTTCGTACAATCTTGAAAAAGTATTGAATTTTAGTAGTTGTCTTGGAAAGTCCTTGAATTCGTTTAAGGTCCTTGAAAAGTACTTGATTCCTTGAAATTCACTACCTTGTCTAAAAACATTTTTGTTCCTGAGCGGTATCTTGCCTCTGTTTCTTTATTTTAACTGCTGTTTCTGTACCTCAGATGCAATTGCAAGTCATATTCAGTCATTTTTCAAAGCGTTGTTGCGGGAAGTAGTATAAAATAAGCCCGGGGGAGGGACTCCGCATATAAAAGGGGTGGGGATGCTCGTCGTCCCGCTTAAGGGTGTAAATTTCGGATTTTGGTCTCACTTAGAGTGTTCTAAGCAAAACGCCATCATATTTAGCCGTGAAGGTCTCGTTTAGGGTTGCATGTGAAAAAATATAAAAATGTGTGTATTGTCTGTGTTTTAATACGGTCTCTTTTAGGGGTTAAAAAAAGCTTGGGCTACGCCTGGATCGGTCTCTTTTAGGGGTTTAATTCAAAATATCCGACGAGCATCCCCACGCCTTTCATATGCGGAGTCCCCCCCCCCCCGGGAAAATAAGGGGATCAACCCTGGCTGAAGAAGTAAAAGTCGTAAATGACTCCATGACGTGTTTTAGCCAATAAGGTGTTCAAGAGAGGGTTAAAGAATGCCGATTTATTGAATAAATCGTAGTCCTTGAAAGCTGTTATTTGTCCTGGAAAAATCCTTGAAGAGTCCTCGAAATTTGTTTGTCCGAAGTTGTACGAACCGTGGAATTAGAATTGCGATAGTTTGGAAGAAGAGTAATTGAATGTCCGCGACCTTTGCTTAAGTCCGGTTTGTTTTACATTGCAGGGCATGACCAGGAACTGACACACACTTGTACCCACCCCTCTCAGCAACTTATTGTCACGTCCTCCACTGATACAACCTTCCGTCTGTGGGACTTCAGAACACCGTCCATACACTCAGTCAATGTGTTTCAGGGACATTCCGAGTAAGGCATTCCTATAACACTTACAGACTTACCAGAACTGATTCATTATCCTGTCCAATGTTTGTGTACAGCTTGTGAGCAGTTTCATCAGAAGAGGGAAGATGTTTATCACTCATTAATTTCAAGGTTGCCCACCCGCCCCCCCACCAGTCCACCCCCCACCCCCCCCCTTCAGCCCCCACAAAAGGCCTTACTGCTTCCGATTTCCCGCCTTCTATCTTGTCAGACAGACTTTTCGCTGTGTGGCTCTTTTTTTATTTTTTTATCGTCAACCATTTTTCGTCTATGAGACCTCTCATGCACGCCTATGTGCCACCTCTGTTAATTTGGCGCACAACTGTGTAGTGTTGTGTTTCCACTGTGGCGCATTTGCACCCATATAATGTCCGCCCGGAGTTGGGGAATTTATTTCTAGGTGTACCCCCCCTCCTTGGGAAATACAGGAAATTTGCGTCCTGTGCATGATTGTGAACCGTTTCAAATTCCAGTGAGAATGCACGAGTTCGTGTGAAAAGTAGATTTCAACAGCTTCTAGAATTTTCGTATTACACTTCAAAGTTACAATTACACATTATGTAGTAAACTTACATACTTTGTTTTGTTTGTTTGTTTTGTTTCATGTCTACAGCACAGTGAGGTCAACCGCCTTCACAACAAAAGATATTGTCGTCAGTGGAAGTGATGACAGAACTGTCAAGGTATGATTTACATTTTGCAATTCTTCATTACAGAAATCGCCACCATGGAAGATTCTTCAAGAGAATGAGATAGTTGTAGATATTGCAGTTTATTATTTATTTTAGTTAATTTTTTTTTCTTTTAATTAGACTACCGATACAAGCAGTCTCTCTCTTTTTTCTTAGTCCGTCGAGCGGCAACCATCCGCTAGAGAAACGGAGAGAAACGGCGTTTCTCGCGTCTCGCGGCTTCGCCTCTCCCGCTTCCATGGGCTTCCCTCACTTAATCAGAAGAGAGAAATTTGCACGCGGTTTACCTTTTAACTTTTGTTTCAAAAAATAATTCATCAGCAAAATACCCCAAAACAAAGGGAAAAAAATGATTAATCGAAATGGAAAATTAACTTCAACATAGACACTAGACAAGTAAAGAAGTCTGAGAATGTTCGCCTGTTTCCACGGAGCGTTTTTCGTCGCCAGCGTAGCAGGCTCATGAGAGTAATATGGGCCCCAGAAAGAACGAGGTGCGGGAGAGACTCGCGAGGTAAGAGGAAGCTCTCTCTCGCCCCTCACGTTTCTCCATTCGCGCCCCGTTTTCTTGCGCCTTCTATGCGGGCCAAGTTTTTTTGTTCCGCTAATACTTTTAAAAAAGACCTCGTGCGGTATAAGGTGCCTATATTTTGAAAGTACAATACACTCGTTCATTTTTGGCAAGTTACAACATGTACAACGCTTTGAGAATTTCGTACACACGAGGTTCAAATGGCATCGATTGAGAGAGAAATTTTCCATTTAAACCGGTTTACTCTCACAATTTATTTTGCATTTTCCAGCCCAAGTCTCGGTGCAGGTGTAAATTGGTGGTGTTTTCTAGTCTATTCTACTGCGATTTTCCAAAAGTTATTCGAAATTTTTAAGACCCTCCGGCGAAAAACTTCTCTTTTCTTATAGTTTATACTAAGGGCCTGTTTACATGGAGGTGGAAGACCCCAGGTAAGTGGAGTAACCCACTGAGATGGGGTAACCCGCCTGTCCATATAATCTTCCATTTGAATTTGATCCCGTTTACATGTAAGGTGGGGAGACCATATGAGAGATTGTATGGACTGGCGGGTTACCCCAATGCAACTAAGCGCGTTACCTCACCTTGCTGGGGTCACCCACCTCCAGGTAAACTGCAGGCCCTAAATTTCATGGCAATCTCAAGCCAGACGAAATTGTGAAAAAATGTTTGGTGGAAATCGGCGTTGATACTTTAACATGTATTTGTTTACAGGTATGGGATCTAAAGAATATGCGTTCTCCTTTAACAACAATCAACACAGATTCTTCCGTTAACAGGTAACAATAAGAACTAGTTAGTTTTACGGCAGTTGAAGTTCACAGTTCGCTCGAAACTGTTGTGAGTACTCCCAGAAATAACAGAAGACCAAGGCAAACTAATGAACCAATCAGAATTCAAAGCGAACACATGTGACCTTTTTGCAAGCGCGGGAAAAAATGTATCACCGGCCATATTGGCTTTAACCTTTATTTTTGATTGGTTGAAATCATAGGAGCATAAGCATAATAAGCATATCAATAAAAATCGGTTGTAATCGAAAGCTTATTGAAAAATACACGGCTCTTATTCCAAAGAGATTAAGGCTCTGTCCAACCGTATATCCGCTTTTAAAAAATACGATAGCATCTAGGAGTTTATGATGAATGCCTTCATCGTATGCGAAACCTCCGTTTTCGTAGATTCACACGTAAACTTGAAGCTGTCGTTATTAAGAATCTTCACCTTGGGAACCGTTGAAAATGAAAACTTGCGTTTTTGGTCCCTGAAATGGAAATGGACAAAAACATCTTTTTTTTTCAAAATTATCGATCCGGTTATTTGTAAAGGGGCCTAAGTGACTTGGTCACTTTTCACTTTTGTACATCTACTAATCAAATGGCGGTATAAATGCTATAACGCTGAAAAGAAAGTACGCTTGGCCACTGACACAAGAAAAAAAACCTTGCAATAACTCTCCCATAAATAATTCCCCTAATAAAAAGAATGCTTTTGTGTTCACAGACTCTCAGTTTCTCCTGTGAATAATATAATCGCACTTCCTCACGACAATCGACACATTCGCCTCTTTGACATCAGTGGGGTAAGACTAGCACGGCTACCTCGCCGAAATGGTCAGGTGAGTTCTCTTGCAATGCTTCATGTGTATGACTTGCTTAAATGTGAACCTGCTTCCCGGGGGGGGTACTCAATGAAGTTTTATACGGGGAGGCTCTGCCCCGAGGTCCAACCCCTTACCCTTTTATATACCATTTTTGGCAGAAAAGAGACCCCTTTTGTATACCTTCTGTCAAAAAATGGTACTCCCTTAACATACCTAGTTTAGAACTTTGCATCCCTTCTTGAAGCTTTAAATGGACCGGCAAAGTATTGAATATGAAAAGATCACTAAACCAGGATGTTTTCTTGTCTCTTTACATTATTGTATAAAATGCGTCTGTTCGCTCTTTCTTGTTCTTTTTAGGGTTGATTTCCACTGTCGCGTAATTTTTCGGTGCGAACGCACGTAATATTTAGCACGTAAATGAAATAGAGGCAATGTATGAAAGGCCTCGCGGAAATAGGAAAGTTGAGCGAGGTTCAACTTTTTCGTTTACGCGTGAACTTCCATACATTGTCTCTGTTTCATTAAAGCGCGTAAAATTTACTTGCGTAAGCACGTAAAAAATTACGCGACAGTGGAAATCCACCCTTACCTGAAGTCTGAGTACGGAGCCTCCCCGTACGGGCCAAACAAGGGAGTACCCCTCGGGACCTGTTTACTTTTCATGACAGGAGTCATTTGTAGATAATTGGGCTAAGTTACTCCAAAAGCTCTTATCTGGTTGAAATCAAACACTTACATAGCTTTTTTCTTTCGAAAATGAATTTTTCCCCTGATTGATTTTGGTCATTCTTGGGGATGAAGGGGTTGAAATCGAATCGACCCATCCTAAGATCACTATCGATTCCAGTTTTCTGTGTCAGCTCAGTTATAGGTGTTCCCCCTCCTGCTCCCCCTTCGCTCTCAATCCAGTTGTCTCAACTCGCTTGGAAACGCTTGCTACGCAGGCTAAGATGGCATCAAAGTATAGTAAAGGTGATGTTACACGAGACGATTCGCAACGACGATTTTTAGCGCAACACAGCGTTGCATCATTGTTGTGACATTGTTTCGAATGGTTGCAACATTGTTCCAACATTGAGCGCTGTGTTGCGCTACAAATCGTCGCTGCGAATCGTTCCTTGTAACATCACCTTAAAACAAAAAGGAGGTGACGAGGTAGGCTCTGACGTGCTATTAAAATTCTTGACGTCATCCGCGATCTCGGTTTCGTCTTTGTCTTACTTGTAAACAGTTACTATCCGAGGTCTTTTCTTAATCACTCCGGAATAATGTACCCTGCGAGCAGGGGTTTCTCTCTGGCATTGCTTCTAGCATTTACGAAGTCGTTCGCGTTGCTTGTTAGTCGCCTAGTTGGTTTGTTTACGCCCAGAGTCAACCCGAACGACTTTGTAAAAAAAATATAAGCCATGCCAGAAAGAAACTTCTGATGGCAGGGTAGAATAATCTCACGAATACTTTCAAAACTGCTGCTTTGTTAGGTAAAAGAAAGAAGAACTTCCCTATAAAGTCGAAATAATATACTTCAAAATAGGCTTATTATTCGATATATTATATAACGTAGCTAGAATCTTCGCCTAATCAAATTCAATAGTGCGTGCGTGCGTCATTTCCCCATTGTGCACGCTGATGACGTAAATCAAACAGCACGTTCCTTTTTTCTCTTAGATAAGATAATTTTGCAGATTAAAATCAGATAGTAGAAGTCAATTTTCGTGCATGAGTTCACCTGTCAGTTTTTCTTACCAATTCTTCTTTGAAGAATGTCGAAGGTTTTTTTCTCAAACAAAAATGAGCAGCGCATTGAAGCATAACAAAGTGAATTTTTCTTAGTGTTGATTATGTCATAAGACATTTGGTTCATTCTTCAGCTGTACATGTATATGGAAGTTTGTAGAGCAGGAATAGAGAGGAGAATGGTGACGTCACGTTACCATGGTAGCAAAAATTCTGGATCACAACAATAAAGAGCTTAAGCAAGCTAGGACGACGGCAACAACAACGAGAACGACAAAAAAAAAAAACGATAGGTTTATATTAGCAAAACAACAACTTTGCACTTGCATCACGCTTTTTTTTTTCTTCCGACATTGGACTTCCTAATTTCACGCGCCCGCTCTATGGAGTTGGTGAACACAGCACAAAAATTTTCTTTTTCAGTTTCTCTAAACTCAGATACGGTACTTTCGGATTCAACCCCAGATGACTGCGCCAACATGTAACAAATTAAATGAAAACTGAATAAGATCGATGAAGTTTGCAACAGTGCGAAGTCACTTTTTAAGTGATGTTTTTGGTTTGTTGTCATCCGGAAATTTTGCTACCATGGCAACGTGACGTAAGGACTTCTCTTTGTTGTTCTTGTCTACGTTTCCAGCATCTTACGTGCTAGTTTCCTGCTCTCCAAACTTCCCGCGTGCTTTATATGTCGATACACTCGTCCCTTCCAAAGGAAACCGGATTTCCGGAAATTTCAGGAATCCGGGGCTCTAGAATCCGGAATACAGCTCAAGGAATCCGGAATCCCACTAACGATCGGAATCGGGAATCCAAGTTTCATCGACAAAGAACCCGGATTCGGTGCCTGAAAATCCGGAATCCACTGCGCGGAGTCCAGAATCCGAGATTGCCTTGGATTCCCTTGCATGGATTCCCTTGCATGGGTCTTTTCAAGGGGAGCAAGGGTGGCGCAGTGGTGAGAGCGCTCGCCTCCCACCAGTGTGGCCCGGGTTCGAATCCTGGCGTCGACGCCGTATGTGGGTTGAGTTTGTTGTTGGTTCTCTCCCTTGCTCCGCGAGGTTTTCCTCCGGGTACTCCGGTTTTCCCCTCTCCTTAAAAACCAACACTTTCAAATTCCAATTCGATCTGGAACGCACGGACACGTTTCAACGAGTTCTTATGAACTCCTTAGTGATCCGTGGGTAAACAAATTACAATTTACAATTTTACATGGGGCGAATACACTCACACTGATGCACGAACAAATTGTTTGGTATAAAAATTCATAAATGTTGTATAAGGTAAGACACTATGTTGGCGAACATATTGCTGAAATCTTTCGGATTTTATGATTCAAGGGCCATCAACGCATGGTGTGTTCCACAGCCTGGGGAGAGGAGACAAATGCCAAAGCTTCCTGTAATTTATTTTCGTGTGGATTTGACAGAAGAGTGTTAGGTTGGCAAGTCAGAGAAGAGAAAGACAAGTAATAGGTCTGCAGATCTACTTTCGCCTTTGTTGGACGGTCTATGTTTGTGGGATTCTTACACTTTTTTTCTCGTTAGCATAAATGAAACGATGAAACTAGCCAGACTGTTCTAGAACAAAGTTTGAAATTACGTAGGTCTTTTAGTAATTGTATAGTGTAATTTATAATAAATAAATGTTGGCCTGGTGAAGGGTGTTTTTTGCTCACGTAAATAGGCCATGTTCGAAATCCCTCGGGCCTCTGTATCAAAACGAGGTTAAGTGCTCCGCCTTTGATATGGAAATGATTTTTCATTTTCATCCAAATAGAACTTAGTTTCACAAGAAAAGGTTGTGCACTTGGCCTCATTTTGAAAGTGTGGGTTTATGGAACTCGGGGGTGGAACTCGCCCCTACGGCCGGAGAGAGACGGGTAGGAGAGTGAACCTGGGAACGAGGTTGGGGGTAATTAACCTGTATTTTGTTGATTTCATATTTATTATCACGTAGAATAAAAGAAAGACAGGAAATAAAATAAAACAGGAAATGTAAAATTACCATAAAGTGAAAAAGCTTGAAGTCATATTTTGTGTGCACCAAGTCATTATTCTTCAAGGCCTAAGACCCATTACAACGTTCTGTCATGTTCTGTACCTAAAACGGCGTAACAATTTCGGTAATAGAATGTTGACCAATCGAAGGCCGGGTAGCAACCATCTTACAAAACGCCACTTGTAAAACATTTCGAAAACGCTCTAGTTTTTTTATTCTTGTATCAAAATGTTCTTAAGAGGGGAGATCGCTTCACGCGGGCGGCCAGTTAATTCGCCTCCTTACAAGTTCGCTGCATTTCTTTTGAAATCAATTCAAATGCGGGCGATGGATCAAAGTAACTTGCATGGCTCGTGCAGTGATTGTTGCTTTTTAAGATTATCTTGTCGGAAGAAATGTAATATACAAAAACGTTGTTTGTGTACAGCAAAAATAAAAGCTAAAGTAAAATGCTCTTGCTAGTCATTTAAATTTCTAAATCTTTAATTTTTTGAAAATTTATTGGTGATTTGAGTCATTCATTTCAGTTACTTTATTAATCTCGTAAGACGGCGCAGTGTAGGCTCGTTCTTTAGTTGCGCCTGTCACGATACGCCTGCGATTCTCCCCATCTCTCGGCTGAGTGTGAAGACATCGGGAGAACTGCGGATGCATTGAGATACCCATGGGAGCGGAAATGAAGGTTGCCCCTTAAAGTGCTGGGCGCTTTTCATGTGTATTTATCAGCATCTCTTCTTTTTGTCGACATTTCCACTCAAGTGAGCTGCTATAAACCCGGACGGTCTTGCGAAGAGAGAAATCTTCAAAACTTTTGTGATGACATTGCACCGTACTTATGAAGGCTTGTCCGCGCAAAGTAAACTGATTTTTTTTTTGGTGACATGAACAATCCCCTAAAAGAGACGGGATCAACATTTAAGTTTTTTTCCTTACTTTGCAGTACCGCGGCAGTTGCTAGGTTACCGCCTAACGAATTCAACATACAAACTTTTTAAAAAGCTTAAAATACAACGGAGAAGATGACCGGACCAATTAGCTGAGGCAATAGTAATCGTTACTTCCTTTTGCAGTGTTGCGGCATTTGCCAGGTTATCATCTAATAAATGACAAACAAATGAGTAATTATTTAACAATTAATGAATGAGGCTGAGTATCTTATGAAGAATTATGGAGATCGAGGAGGGTGTTATCCGTCGAGGCCGTAGGCCGAGGTGGATGACACCCTCCGAGATCTCTATAATTCTTCATTTTATACGAAAGCCGAATTCAATAATTGTTTTATCATTCATTCAAAATAATTCCTAGTTTAAAAACATAGCTAAAACATGCTTATCTCCATCGATGTTAAGTTCATCTTCGATAGTGCACGTTTAGGATTGCTCAGCTCCGCAAATATTCTCCAAATAGCAGATGTCGCCCTTAAAGTTGTCTTCTGTCTGTTCTGTTGAACGTCATCGCTTCCTTAAACGGAAAATTCTTCCAAATTTGGTCATCAGTAGCTGGTTATGGTGAATTATGCGTGTGCTTTTAGCCAATCAGAATCGGGAAACTATTTTGAATGAATAATAACATCTAATAAATGACAAACAAATGACAAATTATCTATTAGTTAATTAGATAATCCCCTTAAAATGAGCGGACCAATTAGATGAGGCAATATTTAATTGACTCTTTCCTTTGCTGTATTGCCGCATTTGCCAGCTTATCATCTAATAAATGACAAACAAATAACTAATTGTTTATTAATTAATTAATTAGGTAATCCCCTAAAAATGAGCGGACCAATTAGATAAGGCAAAATTTAATTGACTCTTTCCTTTGCTGTACTGCCGCATTTGCCAGCTTATCTAATAAATGACAAACAAATGACTGATTATTTCTTAATTAATTAGGTAATCCCCTAAAAATGAGCGGACCAATTAGATGAGGCAAAATTTAATTGACTCTTTCCTTTGCTGTATTGCCGCATTTGCCAGGTTATCATCTAATAAATGACAAACAAATAACAAATTATTTATTAATTAATGATGTAATCCCCCTAAAGAAATGGACCAATTAGATGAGGCAAAATTTAATTGATTCTTTCCTTTTCTTTGTAGTATCACAGCAGTTGCTAGGTTACCATCTAATAAATAACAAAATAATAAGTAACTGATTAGTAATTAATTACTTACTAGATAATCCCCTGAAAAATGACTAGACTAATTAGACATTTTAAAGAGAAAAATTAATCGGCCAATCATGGATGCCCTTGCCATAAGAGGCGTTTATTTAAAGGGATAATCTTTGATTTTTTTGGATAGATGCATGGTTTCTAACTTCCAATCTGAGCTCCATTTTACATCCAGAACAGACATATTTTCAATTACTTATCCGATATGCAAAAGCCCGTGGATTCGTATAACGAAGAAAATGATATTCAGAGTTCCTCCTTGAAAGAATACTGTGGTCGGTTACCGGTGCAGGCCCAAATCCTTAACAGTAGAGTCACTGAGTCGGCTGAGGGCACTTTACGATTTTATTCCTTGATAAGGAATGAAATGGAAGCATGGTGTTACCAGCATGGAGGAAAATTTCGTGTGAGACGTCCAGGAATCTCATTTCAACCAAAAACCAATTCAGATGTTTCTTGGAATAAAGCAAATGATGAATTTCAACATTTAAGCGGAGGGAACAACTACAACGAAAGTGTCGTTTATTCGCCCCTAAAGGCAAGCAGTCCCGAATCGTTTCACCAGAACCCCTTCCGGCAAGAAACTGCTCCTTTTGACGAGTGTCAGGAAAATGATCGCATGAGACGTCCTAGATTTTCATACCAACACAAAATCAGTTCAGAAGAAGCAAATGCTGCATCTCTGCAGTGCCAAGGGAGCAGGCAAGTCGGGGGCTCAGTGTATCCTGCACAGCAGGAAAATAATCGGCGATATTCTTACCAATTGTCAGAATATTTTTGCGAGGAAGCAAGTGCTGCAGCTGACCAGTACCAAGCAGATGGTGGTATGAGACAGCCAAGAAATCCAAACGCACTGAAAAGTCCCTTGAGAACTTTTGATCAGGAAGCAAATTCGCTGTCCCGACAGCACTCGGAAAATTGCTGGACGAGTAGATCTTTACATCGACAGATAAGCAGTTTTGAAGATTATGACGAGGAAAAGAATAAACGAGGAAACCTGCTTCAGCAAAACAAGCCAATGAGAGAGCATAAAACAAGATTTTCAGAAAATTCAAATCCCCAAGCGAATGCGTTTAAATATTCATACAATCTCCACCAAGGACAGCAAGAAATAGATGACAAAGGAAAGAATCGGATCGGAAGAAAGATTACAAAAACACTAACGAGAAACAAGCGGCAAAATGAGATGGAGCCATCAATATTGGGTATGGAATGGAACAACATGAACGCAATACTACCAGCAGTACCGCTTAGCAGCACTGTTCAAGCGTACTGTGTTCAGGGTTCTGTAGCGACCCGTCGATGTGGCCGACAAGAAGTTGGTGAAAAAAAGCACCACTACCCTGCAAAACGAAAAGAAATCTGTCATGAAACGGACGAAATCAAGAAACAACGAGTATTTCTCCGAGTCTTAGCTAAACGGTTTTAAGCATGTAATAACTACATTTATTATATAGACACGAGTGTTTTACTGGAAAATATACCACTCGTAAAATTCATAAAAACTACATCCGGGACCCGAGTGGTTTATTTTCCATAATCTCACACGTGAGTTTATCGATGACGTAATTTCGGTGATTTCCCTTCAAAATTTGTAGGCGCTTGCGTCCTTTGAATTTTAATTACACATTTTTCAAAGCTTTACTTATATTTTGTCATTGTGGAGCCCTATTCAGCTCAGTGTTATTTCTCAAGATGAACAATGTCTTATATTGCTGTACTGTAAATTTGAGCCGTCACAATTACTTTTTGCATTGGCGAATAAAAATCTATTATTTTATCGATGTCTTTTTTTTTGTCTATATAATAAAAAGAACATTACACGGCGGCTTGAAGATATGAATTTTATTTTCTCGTGGCAAAAACAATATTTTACGAACGAGCGCAGCGAGGGAGTAAAATATTGCTTTGCCACTCGAAAATAAAATTCATATCTTCGCGCCACCGTGTAATATCCTCTATGTATTTGGCACATTATATTGTTCCAATTCAGCACGCAATTGACAAGGAAATTGAGAAACTTCCGAGTTCGTGCATTAGATCTGAGAGCTTAGAGTTCAAAGACAACTTTTTTCCCATGACAGATATATTAGCAGGGAAACATTTTCTATTTCTTTTTCATTTTTTCTTGAGAGAAACCTTTGGCATAGATAACCAAATGAGTGAGCAAAGACTGACAGTTTTCGCCGAAGCCAAATTTTGCTCATGCGCATACGCCGAAAATAAAAATAAGTCTTGGAAGAAATGCAAAAAGAAATCGAAACTCTTATTTCTAACAATTTGCATTAAGGAATAAGT